GCCAGGCAAAATCCCAGCATGGAGAGGAGAGGAAGGTACAAAGTCCCACCCCTAGTTGAAGAGCTATTGGCAATTGATAGCTGCTGGGAAAGGGAGAATCAGTCGTTTTAAAGGTGTGGCCCCGATGTGTCAACCACATCCAGTGCACACACATCCAGGCATATACGGGCAACACAAACTGTGCTTGGTGCATTAAAAAACTAAAAAAGAGGATGCAAGTTGGATGGGTGGCAGAGGGTGTATCTGAGAGATATTGTGAGAGAAGTGAATATGATCAAAATACATTGTTCAAAATTCTCAAAATACTAATAAGATGAGAAGAAAGTTTATCAATTTAAACATTTTCAAGACACTAAATTTTAATGTCATTATTTTTTCTCATAGGATAAATAAGGTGGGAGGGGCAAGCCTGTGTGGTTGCTTCTGTTCTCAGACAGATGAGAAAGTCTGAGCTGGCAGTGTAAGGACCAGGAAGTGGAACTCCAGAAAATCGGTGGGAAGAATAAAAATCTAAGGCCTGGGAGGCAGGAAGATGTGCAGAGGTAGCATTGGTGTACTTCAGCGTGACTTTGGACTTAGCAGTAATCAAGAGAAGCCAAACCAAACGAGGACTATAAATTACGTCTCGTGTATTTGCTACCACCGTTGCCATCAGCATATTTCTGTTTTGGTCTCTTGTGTTACTGAATATTACTGAATCTTCTTAGTTTAAGACTTCCAGGGGCTGGAGAGATAGCTCAGTGGTTAGGAACACTCGCTGCTCCTCCAGAGTACACGGGGTTCTATCCCCGACACCTACATGGAATTTAACAACCACCTCTAACTCCAGTTCCAGGGGATCCATCGCCCCCTTCTGGTCACTGAGGGCACTGAACATGCTAAATGCAGGCAAAACACCCCTACACATAAACTGAAAACAAATTTTTAAAAATGACTTTCCTAATTTAATTTTTTTCAGGTAAGTTAATAACACCGAAGTTTTCCCTTATGTGTGGCTATATTATTCATTTATGTTTTTGTTTTTTATTTTATATCCAGCTCTTTCTTATTTCCAAAAGCTTCAGTGTTTCAGCGTTTCTCCTCACTCACCTGGCACATGGCTTTGGGTTGCCACCTCTCTCTGATGACTAGTTTTATTTGAAAGATAATTTCATACTAAAATGTTCTGCTACTGAATTATGTACTTTATAAAATACCTTTATTGGCCAGAGATGCAGGTCAGCCCTCAGAAGTCCGAGGCAGGAAGATCTTTGTTATTTCAAGGCCAGCGGGATTTACATAGCAAGCTTCAGAGAGATGGACCCAAACAGGGAGACCTCATCTCAAAATAAGTTAGCCATTGTAATTTAGGATTCGGATTCCAGCTAAATTTTGTAATTCAGTTGTGCCTACCACTGGAAATACCTTCTGTCAGCTAAAACTAATAATACTTCATTTTTAAAAGTGAGTTATTAAATAAGATTGCAATTTGTACATAGCACTACTATCTTATTTTGAACAGAGCTGTGATACTTTCATTAGAATGTACATATTCTTAATATAATTTATAATGTGTCAGTCTTAACTTTAGAGGTAGGATAAGTCATTTCATTTTGAAAATAGCTCTTTTTCACAGAAAAATCTGGATAAAAAAATAGAAAACTCTGATTACTTAGATGTTAAAACTCTGCTTTAGTATACTTTAGATTTTACATATTTGAGCTCATGTGTATAAACTGTTCTAATCTCTTTCTGGTTAAGATTGTTCTATGCATGTTCTCACATCATATTAATAACCTGTCACTCCATAATGGCTGTGCAAATCCCCCATCCCAATACACCACCATTTTCATAATATTTTCTTAATAACAGACACCTAGAACAGTGCTTCTAGGACTTAGAAATTTAAAGTAATTGAATAGATAACTGGTATCTCTGTAAAAGCTTGTATTTGCTTAACTGTTAATAGTGTGTTTGAAAATTTTTCAAACGTTAATTATAGTTTTCTGTTTTAATTTTTTAAATATTTTATTATGTGTATGCATGTGTGCCTTAATGTAGGATCCCAAAGAGGTCAGAAGAGGCCTAAGATCCCCTGGAATTGGGATTTACAGATGGTCATGAGCCAACGTTTGGGTGCTGGGAACTGGACCCGGTCCTCTGCAAGAGCAATAAGCGTCTTTAACCACTGAGCCATCTTCCCTGCCCGTATAGTTTTCTTTTAATGAACTATGATTCAGTCCTTTATCCTAACAGTAACTCATACAATTCATGTAGTATTTTATTTACTTATTATGCATTTTACATTATTATTTGACCAAAACTGCCAATACTTAGTTTGGGTTTCAGGGGGCTTTTTTCTCATTAAATTTTAAAAATACAAATAAGCACATAGGGAAGTAAATGTATTCAATCAATTTTCAACATTAAGTTGCAATTAGGTAAGTGGTATTAAATTGGACATTAGAATAATACTGTCCTAGAATTTATCTTTTTTTTTTTTTTTTTTTTTTTTGGTTTTTCGAGACAGGGTTTCTCTGTGTAGCTTTGCGCCTTTCCTGGAACTCGCTTTGGAGACCAGGCTGGCCTCGAACTCACAGAGATCCGCCTGGCTCTGCCTCCCGAGTGCTGGGATTAAAGGCGTGCGCCACCACCGCCCGGCTGAATTTATCTTTTAATGAGGATCAACCTAGAGTCTTTCAAGTTTTCTGAGAAGATACTCTACCACTGAACTATATCCCTGTCCCAATACTATGCATTCATTATTGTACTGTACTTGATTTATGTGAGAATAAATATATATTTTTACATTAAAATTTCTATATAATAATATATTTATTCTATAAATAAATATTTTCATGTTCAGTTTTCACTGCTCTGAACTTTATAACATTCTTATAGGAAGTACGATTTCTGGACCCACGTTCACTCACACCTTTAACCTGCCTGTCAAAGAACTCCTTAATGATGTACTCAGCAGCCTACCTTCCCATGGCTTACTGCAAATGGATACTGATTTAAAAAGCAATCAACTATGTGACATGATTACAAATAATAAATAGATCAGTATACCGTTCAATGTGTTTTGGCTGACATTAACCAAGATATAGAATATTTTTATCATTGTCCTCCAAAAATTCTGTCTTACACATTTTCACCAATCTCCCCATCTCAGTCCCTAGATAACCACAGATATTTTCTGTTAGTATAGATTTTATTTTATCATATAGTTTTAAAGTAATGGGAACCATATGGTATGTGTTCTCTGGAATCTAGATTGTTTTGTTTATAGTGTCTTAAGATCCATCCCTGTTCTTAACCTTAATCTGCATGTCCTATCGATAGGTCAGTCACATGTCACATATACCAAAACTTGCCTCCCATCAATTGAATAGTGAGGTGTTTTGAGTTTATTCCAGCCTTGGGTTATTATAAACAAGCTGCTGTAGGCTCGTAGATCTTTAGGCCAGGACTCTCCAAAAAGAGATACTTCCTCTTCATACCTAGGAAGTATGCAGACTCTAATGGTATCATCCTGTGTTTCACATCAGGCACATTTCCTGAAGGAAAGCCCAGGTCTTGATTTGGGACCAAGTTAGTGGGTGAGGCAATGGTGCAGGGAATAAGTTCTGAGCACCTTGGAAAGCTCTCTGCAAAGCACCTGATTACCCTCCTCTCATATCAACTGCAAAGCATACACCCTTGCCTTGCTCACTGCCCTTCTCTCTATGTCTCCTGGCTCTAAGAGAGTCTAAGATTCCTGCCAAGTCAGTCCCTGCCCCTTCCCATTATGGGAGGATCAGTGGAGAAAATAACTACAGGCATAATGCTGTTTAATGCCAGATCCTCTAAATAGCCACAGAAGGCAGTACTCAGGCAAACCCCAGGCCACCTGAGCATCTATCTGCCCAGTGGCCTCTAGAGCATTCAATGCCCTCTTTATGGCTACAAGACAAACTCATCTTTATGGCTCAGAATTCTGTACAGTGATTTTTACTGAACCTACCTTCCAACCTTCTAGTAAAATGATAACTTTTATTTGCAGTTCAAGCTGGCCTCGAACTCATAGTAGTCTTCTTCTCTCAGCGTGCCATATGCCGGGATTTCAGTGTAAGTCAACATACCTGGCTGGAATGCAAACATCTTAAGAGCAATTATCACACCTTACACAACTCGTATATGCATAAGGTACATAATAGGCAACTCATAGTTTGAGTGATACAGGACCTAAACTTGAGACTTGGGCATATACGTCTAACCTACACACCCTTAATATTTGACAAATAAGTCTTTATGAATCCAATACTTTGAAGCAAATCTTTTGTGGTTTTTTTTCACCTTCAGTCAAATGTCCTTCCCTGAATCGAAACTAGCAATAAAAGAACAATTATTTATACCTTACACTTAGATACATAACATAGACATTTTCTTGTACTACTGTCTTTTGAAACAGAACCCAGAAGATGGCCAGTCAACACTATATTCCCTTTCTTCTCTTTCCAGCTCCCTTCTGTGGCAAGGGGAATTTTTTAAAAAGCACTGAAATTGTGAGAGTCTAAGGCTGGCTCTTCAGAAAACTAAACTTGGAAAACAAGATAAATTTATGAAATAGTCCAATGCCAAAGGGATTTGGGGAAAACATCTTCAATATCTTAGGAATGTAGTACCTAAAAGGAAATGTGTGAGCTTTGCTGACTAAGAGAGATGTGGCTACTGAGACCTGATTATGGGGGGCTGAGTCGCTGACTTTAGCAGGCATCCATTGTGTGTGTCACTGACTTCAGTGGAAATCCACTGCTTGTGTGTCACTGACTTTAGTGGAAATCCACTGCTTGTGTGTGTCACTGACTTTTTAGCAGGTATCCACTGCTTGTGTGTGTCACTGACTTTAGCAGGCATCCACTGCTTGTGTGTGTCACTGACTTTAGCAGGCATTCACCGCTTGTGTGTGTCACTGATGTTAGCAGGCACCCACGGATTGTGGCAGGATAAGATTTTGATGGGTGTCTCTCTTCCTTCAGTTCACAGATATTGGGACCTTTGAGACAGTGTGGCAAGTCAAGTTCTACAATTACCACAAGCGAGACCACTGCCAGTGGGGAAGCCCGTTCTCTGTCATTGAGTATGAATGCAAGCCCAACGAGACACGCAGCCTCATGTGGGTGAACAAGGAGTCCTTCCTCTGAATACAGCTCCTTCGATGTTGCTAGACAATCTCCAGAAATCTACGTTTAAACAGACCAGCACAAGCCTTAACCAAGGCACACCACACCATGGCTGTTTCCCAATGACCTTCTAACCCCAATTATTTTGAACGTGTGATTCCTCTCTGATACAGTAGCTGTGACATGAAAGATGATGTCACATCCCTGAAAGTTCTCCGTCCACTACTCTATGCTGGTGTTCCTGCATCTATCCACACTCCATCACACTGTCTGCCAGTGTGACTGGAGCTTGATGGGACTAGCAGGTTTGTCCTAGACCCAAAAGGTCCGCAGGACCATGGTGTTTTGTTTTCAAGAGAAGCAATGCCTCCCTTTTGTGTTCATTGTCAAATTAAAATAACAATGTGCTTGAGTCCCCCGTGTGTGTGATATTGTAACATGTAGCATGCAATGTTTGTGAGCATCCAAAGCAGACTTTGTGGAAATGTAACACAATCAGCAGTAAATGGGATTCGAATGCTGAACTTACTATCAACAGCCCAGCTTTCTAAGAGAAAGAAAGAAAATGGCAGAATAAAAAGATGAATCTATAAAGAAACATTTATAATGTATTAATAGTCTTTCAAGTAGCAAGGTGTTATGCTGTGGCTAGCAGAAAGAGGGATAAGACATTGTTGTGGAACTGGAACTTTGGATCACCCTTTTGGCAAGCTACCATAGACCAAACATGCATAGAGATGGCATCCCTACATACCATTTCACTTGAACTTTGTACAATCGTGTCTGGAATGGTAATCAACTTTTGATATTTCTTAATAAAGACATTGAAAATCGTGCCCCAACTTGTGCAACAGTTGTCTAGCAGGTCAATCTCTTTTCTAGGACAGTGTACCCAAATCTCTATGCTGAAGGGTAAGGGTAGTATACTGAGAATAAAACTACCATACCTGTCTACCAGGTAGCCTCCAGCAAGGTCTAACATGGCAACAGGAGTCTAAGCACCTACTAAGCAATCAGAATAGGTTGGACATTATCTTTATTCCTTCCCCTGTATATCACCTACTGCACTAGTTAGCTACTTAACGCAATGGCCAGAGATGCTGGTGCTGCAGCAGAGCATGGACACCAGCATTGAGACTTCAGTGCCTGCTCACAGGACTCTTCAAGGTACATAGCACAAAGTCTATGCTCCCTCACGATTCCATGAGGAATTTCCTCTTAAAAAAAAATAATATCCTACCTTCCATATTATCACTCACTTGTCCAGTAAAAATCCTATTATGTTGGGGGAAAGTCAGCTGAGGGTTCCATTTATTTTCTCTATACTTGTAAACCTTTCATATGAGATTATGATGGCCCATACCTGCGATTCCAGCACGTGGGAGGATGAGGCAAAAGGATTGTAAGTTCAAGGCAACCTGTGCTGTATAACCAGTCTGTACAGTATAACCCTGTCTCAAAACACCAATAGCATGCAAGGTTAATGGAAGTATTTTAAAGAGTTGATTTATTTATTATAGAACTAAATTGGGAAGCCTTTCCTCCATCAATAAGTAGCTGGCCTGCAATGAGTCTGCACTGCCACCAGGGAACAGCAATTCCCTGGGTTTGGGCTAATAAATTTTTAAAGAGCTCAATGTGTTTCTCGGTGAGCTTGTTCAAAAATAATAGCATCTATTACATTTGCCGCATAAAAGCACAAGCCTGTTTTCAATTAACATATTTTGAAAGTCTAACTTCAATTATTGGCTAGACGTCGAACTATTCCTAAAAGTGGGTTTATTACAGGGGCTTCAGTCTCCCTCCAGAATGTGGGGCAATCTGAACGCAACAGAAGGGGAGGGGACAGCTGCACAATTCAGTCTTTATAAATACTTGATTCATCAATTTTGTGTTTGTGAAATGTAAGTTTCAAACCAGTACATGATCTCAGAGCTTTAGCATTTGTTTGGAGATTGTAAATGGTGTCATAATGTTTACAAATAGTCTGTGCTTTCTGAAGCAAGAGGCTTCATTGCAAATTGGAGACTAGTCAACAGGAGACTGGAGGAAATGTGGCTGGTCTAACTGCATAAGTCTCACCCAGAGGTGTTGAAAGCTGAGCCTGGATGAAGAGTCAGGGTGTGAGTCCCACTACGGCTCTTTCTAAGCTTATGGTCACCTCAGCTTATATTCTAGAGTTTTTTCAAAATCTTTTAAAAGCTATGGCTTGCGCCTCTTTTCAGTACTTTTTAAAAAAAAGTGTGTGTGTGTGTGTGTGTGTGTGTGTGTGTGTGTGTGTGTGAGAGAGAGAGAGAGAGAGAGAGAGAGAGAGAGAGAGAGAGAGAGAGAGAGAGAGAGAGAGAGAGAGAGATATTCGTGCTGGTCCAGAGACAAGGTAGACGCTAAGAGGTGGGCCAGTGATGGGAATGAAGCAACAGGAAATCCTAACAGCTGATCTGCATGTTAAATGATGGCTCCTGGCATCTTCTGTTCTGTTTAGGAGTGGACTCCAGCCCAGACTCTCTGGCTGTTTTTCTCTGGTTCTCCTACTCCAAAAATGTAAGTGCTCAGCTGTATCAAGACGCTGAGTTGTAACTTTGTCCCTCAACCACCTGGGAGAGCTATTTTTATACATGGTAGCCTCTCTCTTTACTTCCAGCATCAGATGGCTCCCTGGAAGCCTGAGGAATGAGGCCATCCTTTTAATTGGGGTGATGATGAAAACACTTTGGGGCAAGCAGAAGGGTAGAACTGCCTCGGGTTTATGCTGTGTGGCACCTCGTTCTTTGAGAAGTCATCTGTCTAGCCATGTAACATATACAGACCACAACAAGAACATAAAACATGACAAAAATACAGATGCTGCCGCAGATGTGCCACATCTTTTCACTACAGATCGAGTTTTCTGCAATGGCCTGTGACTCCTAGCTCAGACATACTGTTACCATGTGCAGTGATCCAGTGTCTGACTCTTAGGAACAATTGGAGGGAAGAGGACAATTTATAGAGGTTAGTTAAATGGAGAATAATTTTTTCAGGTATCATTTCACTTATCAAAAAGGCACATATCATAGTAAGTCAAAATGTAGTAACCTCCATCTATAGTAGAGACATAACCCTATCCTAAATCAAGGTGTGGTTGCTGGTACCAAATCAAAATGGATGTACATAATCATGGCTCGGGTTTATAACTGGAGAGTTTCTCTCCGGGTCCCGCCAAGTCCCTGCGCAGTCCCGCAGCCCACTTATAAAATAATCACTCAGAAGCTTATATTACTTATAAACTGTATGGCTGTGGCAGACTTCTTGCTATCTAGTTCTTATATCTTAAACTAACCCATTTCTATTAATCTACAAGTTGCCACGTGGCTCCTGGCTTACCAATATCTTAACATCTGCTTCTCGTGGCAGCGGTAGGTCTCCTGACTCAGCCTTCCACTTCCCAGAATTCTCCTCTCTTTGCCCCGCCTATACTTCCTGCCTGGCTACTGGCCAATCAGCACTTTTTTTATTAACCAATCAGAGCAACACATTCAGAGCATACAGAACATCCCACAACATGGATTCATTTAAGGAAACTGGTCCACTGTTTTTATCAGTGTATAATGCACAGTTCAATGCTTGGGAGCTCAGATTCTAGAACCAGATGCCTCAATTCAAAACCTTATCCAGGGCTGGAAATAGGGAATGTAGATCTTCCTACTTCTGCCTCCCAGTGCTGGGATTGAAGGTGTGAGCCATCACACCTAATAAGACTCGGTTTTTAATAAAGTGCAAAATCAGAACAGCATCAGAGCAGTTCAATTCAGTAAAGGTCAAGAGTTATATCAAATTTCTATTCACTATTCCTTTTAATCATCTTGTCCCTGTGAGGTAGGCAGTGTTTATCCTGTTTCTATTTTGCACAGAAAAACAGTCTCAGAGGTTGAAAAAAATAAGACTCAAGTTTGTTTTGCTACAAGAAACCCCTTTATTTGACTTTCGGTTTTGCCCTTTATGAGTTAGTAAAATAATATCTACCTCACAAACTGGATCAGAGCAAGCCTGCTGTGGGATGTTCTGTATGCTGTGAATGTATTGCTATGATTGATTGATCAATAAAACGCTGATTGGCCACAAGCCTTTCTTCTTCCCCTCACTCTCCCCTTGACAAACACGTTTTGTTTTTAAAATATGTTTTTGTATACCCGCACCCCTGTACTGTTTCTTAAAAACCTGTTGAGTTTGCTTTGGTTTGGTTTGGTTTGACTCAGCCTAGTAGATCATCTGCGGTCCCCAGAGAAACCTCTGTGAGTGTGTGTGTGTGTGTGTGTGTGTGTGTGTGTGTGTGTGTGTGTGTGTATGTGTGTGTGTGTGTGTGTTACAACACCTATAACCTGACAAATTTTGTCCAGAACAGAAGCATTCTTTTCCTGGGAGGTCATTTCATATAATACAGCTGTCCTCTCTTATCTATATGGGATATTTTTTAAGACCCACCCCCTAGTGGATACCCAAAAACTTGGATAGCACCAAAACCTATATATTCTATTTGCTTGCTATACCTATTCATGTGGTAAAATTTAATTAGGCACAACAAGAGATTAACAAGATCAATAATAAAATAGCACAGTAGTAAAAGCACAACCTAATGTCACAGAGGGATCACATCATGCTCAGAACTGCGGGCAGTTTAAAATGTATGAGCTGTTTATTTCTGGAAACGCCTGTTTGATCTTCTGGGACCACCACTGGCCATGGGTAACTGACACTGTAGAGAGTAAAAGTTAGAATAAACAAATCATTACACGTCCTACAGCAAATCACATGAAAACAATCTCTATTAGTGATGGCTATGACGAATCAAGCATTTTTACTTAGCAAATAAGGTGCCTCATCCTCTGTCTCCCAACAAATGAAAATATTGGATGTCCTACACTAGAATTTCAATGTATTCCAGATGGGCACAGTCACCCCAGCTCTTTTGGATACTGTAAGTCCAGCAGTTTTCTGGTCATCATACGGCCGGCCTATCCCCTGCTAGGAATGCCCCACCTAGCACATGCCTTCATCTGACAGCTTAAATATCACTGCTGCTTTGAAGTCTTTACTAACTCCTGTAAACGGTTGAGTCGGGAAATGTTCAAATTTTAGTTTATTCAGGTGTTCGGTTTTATTATTTCATTTCTTAAAAGTTTCACCAGCCTCCCTCCACCTCACTTCTGCTTTTCTCTCTCTCATGACAGCATCCCTATCTCCTTACTGTCTCACTGGAAACTAGCTGACTCAATAAAAAGGTGTCGCGATTCTAGAAAGAGCTGCCTGGCTAGCCAGCTGGCTGGCTCACTGGCTAAAGCACCCGCCAGCAGAGAAGTTTGGAAAAGATTAGCCCTCAACTGGCTAGAACCGGTCCATCTGAAAGAGACTTTTGAAAGAAAAAAAAAGTGGATGGGGATGGATCGCTTACTGAAATCACTTCCGGTGAGCCTGCTGTTTTATGATAATTAGGTCCTTGAAGAAATGTATGTGTTTACTCTTGTCAGGATAATGTCACTGAACAAATGCTTCTAGCTCTCCCTGATTAAGCACAGGACAGGATTTGTGATGGAACACGGGCCAGTAGCTCAGGCCAAAGAGTTAGCAGCAGATACAGTATGAGTCATCAGGGTGGCTCTCCAATGCCCAGGGGAGATCCAGTTGGCCTCTTCATGACAACCATGGATGACTATCATCCTGGTCCTGGGATGGAAGAAGTGGCCCCCCAGACAACCTTTCTTGGACATATAGCACAAATGAAGAATAAGCTTCTCTCCCCATGGCCCTACCCCTTACCATGGGTGTGGGAAAACTGGCTCGGCCCCTCACCTGAGGGGAA